AAAATACCCCGATTTATAAAGCTAATACTAATTAATGGATTAATTAGTATTTTACCCATTAAGTCTCCCACATTTAAAAACTAAACATTGGAAGGACCTTTGACCGACACAATTCGGATGAGCCTCGATTATCATTTTTGGGACTGCTCTTAATTTCACCATTAATGCTTGGGACTGCTCTTAATTTCACCATTAATGCTCGAAAAATGGGTTAGGTTAATTCCAGTCTTTTGTTTACCAAATTTTTTATTAAGTCATATATAGATAAATTTGTCTGTTTAGATAAATGGGTATTGTTATTTACTTTTTTTTATCTGAACCAACAGTTTAAATAACATAAATGACCGATTTACCCCCAATATTAATTATTTGAACAACAAAACAAAAAATAAAAAAAAAGGCCAAAGATGAAATGTCTCATGTAGGAAGATTGATCGACTTCTATTAAATATGTTATGCTCCATATTAATTTGCCTATGTGCATTGGGCTTCCTTCTATCAGGTGTTAGCATAAGCATGGGGGTACTTTTTCTTACAACGATCATCTATGCGTTGTACAAAGTAATCAAGAAAACCAAAGCCCGTAGACGTCGGAAGAGGTTTTTTAAACGCAATGGCGGCCTACTCCTAAAGCAACAGGAAGAGGCTGACCCGTCTTTAGTTGATAAGACCATATTGTTTACATCACGTGAATTGGAGAAGGCGACCGACCACTATAACGAGAACAGAATTCTCGGCCGAGGAGGTCAAGGTACAGTCTACAAAGGTATGCTAGTTGATGGAAGGATTGTGGCAGTCAAGAAATCAAAGGTAGTGGATGAAAGCCAATTAGAGCAGTTTGTCAATGAGGTGGTCATTCTTTCGCAAGTCAATCATCGGAATGTGGTGAAGCTATTGGGATGTTGCTTGGAGACCGAGGTTCCTCTACTARTTTCTGAATTCATTTCAAATGGGACATYGTACGATCGTATYCACAAYGGGATTGATGACTCTCCAATTTCTCTCAAAATGAGATTACAAATTGCTACAGAGGTTGCAGGAGCCCTTGCTTATTTGCATTCARCAACTTCCATTCCAATATATCACAGGGACATTAAAACCACTAACATTCTCTTGGATGAGAAATACAGGGCCAAAGTTTCAGACTTTGGAACTTCAAGGTTTGTGTCAATAGATCAAACTCACTTGACTACCTTAGTTAAAGGTACATTTGGCTACCTAGATCCTGAGTATTTCCAATCTAGCCAGTTCACTGAAAAAAGCGATGTTTATAGCTTTGGAGTTGTTTTGGTCGAACTCTTGACAGGAGAAAGACCAATTTCCCTGACTAGATTTGGCGGAACTAGAAGTTTGGCTACACATTTTCTGTTGGCTATGGAAGATGGTCGTGTTATGTCTATTTTTGATTCGATGGTGATTAAGGGGGGTAGCAGGGATGAGCTCTTGGCAGTAGCCAACCTTGCAATGCGATGCTTRAATTTGAATGGAAAAAATAGGCCAACGATGAAAGAAGTTGCAGTAGAGTTAGAAAGTATCCGAATGTCGCACATTCCCTCTACGGTTCAAACTAGTTTCGAACAAGTGATGTACCCACAGGAATTGGAGATGACAACATATGGTGAGTCAACATCGTCAACCTTCTTGAGTGTTGATAACCTTAATTAGTCGATCATTCGTTTTTTGTTGCTTAGTATAATTACATTGTCATATATATAGTTCAAGAATATGATATATAAATCGATGAA